GGGCCGGGCCCTGAGGTAGGTACGGCTGCTCGGCGGCGGGTGCCCCACCGGTGGCTCAGACCGACGATTCTTCGGGGTTGGAGTCGGGCAGGGGCTGGCGCTGCTGCAGCTTGCGCCGCAGCTCCTCGGCCAAATCGGCGCAGGGTGGCCGCTCTTCGGCGCCCAGCGCCAGGCGAATGTAGCCGTTGGAGGAGGAACCACGCAGGGGGCCCAGGTGGATGCGGGTGGGCGAGTGGAGGGGCTGCCCGGGAATGGCGTTGGGCGGCGAGGCAGCGCCGGGGGGGCCGCCGTTGCGGCAGGTGGCGTGACCCGGCACGATTTTGAGCGAGCCGTCCGAGTAGTAGTAGCTGGCCGGGTCCCAGAGCTTCTCGTCTGAGTCGGAGGCGGCGCTGGGCACGAAGCGGGGACTGGGGGGCTCCTTGGGCAGCTCGATGGGGTACACCAGGGTGCTCTCGATGGCTTTGGCGCCTTTGCCCAGCTCCTCCCGCAACCGCCGCCAAAGCGAGAGCACCACCAGCACCAGCACCAGGCACAGGGCGCCCAGGCACACCGCCACCACCCACACCAGACCCAGGCTCTCCAGCGGCGCCCGCGTCTCCAGCGGCACCCCGGGGCCGGCCAACACCGCCACCTGGTACACCTCGCCGCCCAAACGGGCACCCTGTTCCTCTGAAAAGCAACGGTACGTGCCGCTGTGCTGCGCTCCGGCTCCCGGCACCACCAGAGCCCGCAGGCGGGCGTCGTGCAGCACCAGCGCCTGCTCGGCCGCCAGCGCCCGGCCCTCGAAGGTCCACAGTGCCTGTGCCAGGTTGGAGCCCAAACGGCACGTCAGCACCAGGTCGGTGCCCGCCACCACCGTCACGTTTTTGGGGGTGATGGGCCCTGCGGGAGAGGGGACCGAGTCAGGAGGGGAAGTGTAAAGGGGGGGGGGTGTGCATGGCTCCCCCCTCTCCTGGCTCCACGCAGCACCGGCGCGGGGGGGTGTCTTACCTTGCTTGGCCACCTGCGGCAGGGTACAGGCACGGGTGTCGGAGCTCAGCACGTCCTGGACCAGCTGGGACCTGCGGAAGGAGGCAGCGGAGGTGAGGGGGGGACCCCGTGCTGCGGCAGGGTGTCCTCCCCTTCCCCAGGAAACCCACTTACCCGTTGAGGCCATCGGTGCGGACGCAGAGGCTGGCGTTGCGGCTCCAGGCGCAGTAGGGATCCCGGGCAAGGACGCAGTCCGTGCACGACTGGTAGCGGCCGCAGTCGGCCAGGGGCAACTGGGCCACCTGGAAACGGGAGCCGGCGAAGAGCAGCTTCTGCGAGGGCAGGGAGAATGGGTGAGGTGACACGGCGAGGTGACACCAGGAGGTGACACCCCGGGCGCCAGCCCCTTCCCCGTGGCACCGCTCACCTTCCGACCGGCCAGGACCAGGCTCTCCACGGGCTGCGCCGTCTCGAAAACCTGCAGCTCCTCGACCAGATGGACGCGAGTGCCCAGGTTCAGCGCCTTGTGCACCCAGCCGTCACCTATGGGTCACGGCAGGCAGTGAGGGACGTCCCCATGCCAGGAGCCCTCCGCGCTCCCCTCCCCAGCTTCCCCCCCAAGCCCGGCGGGTACCTGTGCCGATGAAGAGCACCTCATAGACGGTGCCGTCCAGCCCGGGCACTCGGTCTACCACCAGCTGGGTGAAGTTGGCGTCTTTCTTGAGGAGAAGTGGGCGCCCATGGTGAGGCAGGATGGGCTCATCCATCAGCGGGTGCTTCTTGGCGAAGTTGAGGGTGTTGTCAGGCAGCTCGAGGGAGCTGGCGAAGCCGTTCCGGCGGTGCCAGTCGGTGATGCACTGGGGAAGGAAGGCACTGTCAGCTGCGCGGCCAGATCCCGTGCCCTCTTCTACTCTCCCACCCCCAGTGCCAGCACTCACCGCGCCGGGACGGGGGCTCGGCACCTCATCCGAGTACCGGCCCCACTTCTGTGCCTGCTCCCGATATTCCTTGTAGGGCCCCTCGAACGCCTTCTTCACCTCCAGGATGTGGTACTGGCAAATAGCCGAGACATCCACGTCCCCCCTGCATGGGATGGAGAAGGTTTTTAGGAGGAGCCACCAGTCACAGGGAACCCCAGGGCTGCCATGTCCCTGTGCACTCACCAGCGGGCCTGGAAGACCCCGAAAAAGGTGGTGTCCTGCCAATCGGCCCCCGGCAGGGTGAAGACAGCCTGGAGGCGGTTGAAGTGTAGCTGCTGCTCAGGCGCCGAGCACACCAAGCGAGCCTTCAGGAAGGTCGTCCACTTCTTCTGCAGCGTGCGGGCACCGCCGACGTCCCCCTGGGCACCCAGCCGGCATCAAGACAGGGCCACCGCACTCACCGGCAAAGCAAAGCCACGCCGGGACAGCGTCCCCGGCACAGATCGTCCCCTCCCCGTACCTTGCAGACCCGCGCCACGCGGGCCACCACCTGCTCCGCGTAGCAGTCGTACTCCACCGCCCGCTCGCTGAAGAAGAAGTAAACCTTGTCGTCATCCCCGGTGCTGCTGGCCGCACTCTCCTGCACGTAAGCCGAAGCCACGAAGTGGGGTTCTGCAGAGGAGGGGGGGCGGAAAGGGGAGGATAATGCTGTGCCGGGGGGGGCGGTGGTGCCCGTGTCGTGTCCCCCCACGTCCCCCCGCCCCTACCATTCAGCCAGGAGGTGAGATACTCTGTCTTCATGGAGTAGTGGGGGCCCAGGTTGCGGAGGATGACGGGCTCCGTGCCCAGAAAGTTGTTGAATGTGGCCGAGTACAGCTCCCCATCTGCGAGACAAGGGCTTAGGGAGGGGGCTGGGGGGTGCAGCGGGCACCCCTCCAACCCCAGCGGGTGCCCGGTGCTGCCACCTACCCACGATGAGGCCGGTGTGTCCCTTGGTGGGGTCGTACGGACACTTCCCCTTGCCGTCCTCAAAAGCCACTTGGTCCAGGGTGAAGCCAGACAGTTCCTGTGGAGCACAGGGGTGGGCAGGGGTCCCCACCTCCTCCCTGATTCATGTTCCCCCTCACCCAGACCAGCCCCAGGCACAGGGACACCCCCCAGATAACCCTTCTGGGGACAGGGACACCCCTGGACCACCCTCCTGGGCACAGGGACACTCCCCAGTGACCCCCCTGGGCTCAGGGGCACCCCGGATGACCCTCCTGTGGACAGAGACACCCCCCCAGATGACCCCACTGGGCACAGGGACACCCCTTAACAATCTCCAAGGGGACAGGGGACACCCCTGGACCACCCTCACGGGAACAAGGCCACCCCTGAATGACACCCTTAGGGACGGGGACACCCCTAGATGATTCTCCTGAGGCCGGGGGCTGCCCTGGACCTCATCCCCAGGGGCAGGGGGGCTGAACCAGGGCCTGACAGGTTTTGGGGGGGGCCCCCCCCAGGAGCCACACTCACGATGTAGGTGCACTTGGGCTGGAAGGCATAGGTGCCGCAGGCATAGAGGTGAGAGCTGTTGTAGCTCTGCAGGAAGCGCACATAGTTGAAGCAATCAGTCTGGGAGGGGTGGAAAAGCAGCCGGTTAAGCGGGTGGGAGCAAAGGGGGGGACAGACACCGGGGTGCCCTTTAACCCCCCCACTGCGGCCACGGCACCCGTGCCCCCCACCTGGTTATTCTTGCCCTTCTGGATGCACTCAGCTTTCTTGTCCACGGGGGCTTCCCAGGAGATCTGGGGACAGACTTAAGAGTCAGTGGGCTGGAAACAGCTGCCCCCCCCCCAAAATACTTCCCCCTCTGGGGGTCCCCTGGGACCTCACCGCCGCCTTGAGCTCCACGGTGCCGGTGGCCAGGGCAAAGACGGCCTCGCGGGCGCCCACGTAGAGCAGCGCCTCGGCCTCATCCAGCGTCAGCGTCAGGTAGTGCGAGACCCCCCCCTGCGAGAAGCGCTTGGCCACGTCCTTCAGCTCTGCGGGGTTTGGGGAGGGGGACGTGGCAGGGGGACATCAGGGCGAGGCCACCATTGGCCCCACGATCCGTCCTTCCCAGGGTGGGCACTGCTGGCACCCCCAGGGCCCCAGCACCCCCCCCCCCGCAACTGCACCCCACTGCCGGAAGCCCCCCGGCCCCGGCACCGCACAAAGGGCTCTTTGTCACCGGAGCAGGCGCTGGCAGCGCCGGACGAACACAG